TTTTTTTCATATAAAATGTTAGACATATATGAAAGATTGAAAGTTTAATTTAAAACTAAGAGTTTTGATAGGCATACCCAAGTTTACGTATGAAAGGTAATACAAAGCCACCAAGACATAGGTCAAAATGGAAACAAATTCCAAAGCTATAAGTGAATTTGCAAAACTCCCAGAAGATAAATGTAATATCTTTTCAGTTGGGAGTTATTGAAAACAATTATGTGAATAAATCACCAGCATGCAGTTTTTTTAACGCCATGGGTAGAAAATTGACACTTACCTCAACAGGTCAACGATGCCATAAGGAAACCCATGTGCAAATCCAACAATTTGAAATAATATTAAAATTTAAACCCCTTAACTTATCAGTGATACATAAACAAAGAAAAAAAAGTTCAGCAACAGTGAACTATGCATTTGAATGACACTTACCTCAACAGGTCAATAATGCCACCCAAGAAACCACTTCAAACTATACTTTCTTTAATCATTTAGAATCCTCCCAGAAAATGCGAATTAGTTGGAGTCAAAATAAATCCTTTTGCTTTTATTCTCAATCATTTGCAAGATATCGTGCAAGATATCTAATGGAAATCAATCAACAAATTGAAATTCTAGCACTGAAAAACGTATTTCTAAGGAACAAAAACTCCAAAATCAAATATAAAAGGTACATTTAAATTCAGTCACCCAAACTTGACTTGGCCCGACCCTCATTTGTGGCCAGCTTCATTCTATAATTCTTTTGATGCTCATTAGCTTTGGTAAGGAGAGCCTTTCTGACAATTGCAATCTGGTATTGCTAAAAATGCATAATCCCACAAACAGAATACAAATGGAAGCTACATTTCATCATCAATTTATGGAGAAACAAAATTAAAATTAAAAAGCTGGTATTCATTCATGATTCAAAGTTTCAAACAACTAATATCGGGGAATCAAATAGAATATGATGAAATCTTTGATGGAAAATGCACAATATTAGGAAATCAAGTACGATGTTACTTACCAGAGTTGATCACCATATAGGCGGAGACTCTCTGTCAGAACTTGTTCTTGAACTCCGACCTCTTGGTACTTGTTTGAACACCCATTCAAATTTGGGTTTTCGGGTAAGATAGAGTCGTACACCAAGAAAGACCACCGCGACAACTCTCGTGGGGAAAGTGGTGTTTCACTGCCCGATCAAGCACTGGCGATTCCTTCGTGGGAGAAGGCACTTGAACGCCATATAAATTTCTCCAGAGACGCGGCATTGGTAAACATGGTAGTTCTCTATTTTGAGAAATTGATAAAGGCAATTGTGGGGTAGTTTCTGACAGAACTTGGATTGGAGATGAAGTTGGTACAGGTTAGTTTCTTGCAGTTTCTGCGAAAAACAACGAAAGCGAAATGATTGAAATCTTAGTAAAACGTCTTCCTTGCTTGCTGTTTTGGGCCAGCTAAGCCCATTAAGGCCACCTTGGAAGCGCTATTATTAATAAATTTTAATAAATAATAAGGATTGATTCTGCGAAAAACAACGAAAGCGAAATGATTGAAATCTTAGTAAAACGTTTTCCTTGCTTGCCGTTTTGGGCCAGCCAAGCCCATTAAGGCTACCTTGGAAGCGCTATTAATAATAAGGATTAATAATTGATAAGGATTGATTTCAGTGGGACGTGTTGGAGCTCTGGGCCAGCTTGTGAAACATGGTGTCTAATTAATTTGGGCTTTTGTTAGCCCATAATACCCTAGAGCCCATTTTTAATGGACGGTCCAAATTAACCCAAAATAGTAGCGAACCGTTGACCCACTCTGCAGAACCGACCCATGTCCGTTTTCTTGTACTCTCGGCCATTCTGCAAGACGATCATGCCGGAAAGGTGGAGGTATAAAATCTGAAATCTCGCACTCTACCTGCCTTTTCTTCCAAGTCTTGTTTAGTCTTTCTGAGGAAGATGGCGGAATCATCGGCGGCGGCAGCAGCACCGAGGTCGGATGCGGAGACGGAGGAGTTGCTGGATCGAATGCTTACTCGGCTGGCGCTCTGCGACGACTCCAAACTCGAAGCCTTGCTCTCGAAGCTCCTCCCTCTCACCATCTCCTCACTCTCCTCTCAGTCTCTAGCCGTCCGCAACAAGGTGCGGAAGAAATTTTTTATCTGTTCTTATCAGTTCAAATTAGGAAGATAGCTGAATTCGTGTTTCCGTTGGAAATTTTCTTTTGACTGTTCTCTTGCATTTTAATGCTTATGAAGCTTTTGTTTCTCGACCTTTTCTCTTTAGAAACAGGAATTGATTACCTTATTGCAGGATAAAATGGAGGTGTAAACATTGTGTTTTGATTGATTAGATTCTCAGTTCATTCTTCTGCCTTGGTATTGTTAGGTTCTTGAGATCTTGAGTCATGTGAACAAGAGAGTGAAACATCAGCCTGAGATTGGTTTGCCATTCATGGACTTATGGAAAATGTATGGTGAATTGAATGCACCTCCAATGGTTAAGAATTTCTGCATCATATATATTGAGATGGCATTTGAACGGATAAATTTAAAGGTATATTCATCACTTTCCTTTTTTCTCTTTTAATTAGTGTACTTTGTTTAAGTTTGTATTACAGCTTGCTACTTGGAGTGTTTGGAATTAATCTCAGGTTCTCTTTATAGGAGAAAGAAAATATGGCACCAATGGTTTTGACAAACATTTCAAAGCTTCCTCAGCAGCACCAAGAGATCATCATGAGGATAGCTGTAAAGGTATATTTCAAAATATTTTCTCTCTCCTTTCTTGATTCTTCATATCATGTTCTGGATATTTTCATTTAGTCTCTTACTCTCTTTAAGCACCACTGGATAAGCTTTTTGATGTTTTCTAATTCTAGATATAGTTTTTAGTTTGGTACCAACATATTTACAGCCTTCATTAGGTTTGTTTTCCATTTATATTTTAAGTTTTGAGACATGCCTA